TAATTCTTAACTCTTTTTTTTGGAGAGGTTTTTGCTATAGGGCGTGTGTACTCACCAGAAAGACAGAGAGAGACAGAAAGACAGAAAGCAAGAAATCACCCCCCGGGGGGGATGGCCATGCTGCAATCCCTTCTCCTCCATTCTCCTCTCAGGATCTTGGGCACGCACCCACACGCACCTGGTGTGAGTTTAAGCCACTGGATCTGGGACTCGAACCATGGTCAACTACATGGGAGTCCAGTGACATAGCCATTACGCCAACTGCTGGTCCCAATAAATAATTCTTTAACAAATAAAAAAACCCAAATCTTTTGAGCATAATTTAGATAGAGAAAACATGCATTGGACTCCCATGTAGTTGACCATGGTTCGAGTCCCAGATCCAGTGGCTTAAACTCACACCAGGTGCGTGTGGGTGCGTGCCCAAGATCCTGAGAGGAGAATGGAGGAGAAGGGATTACAGCATGGCCATCCCTCCCGGGGGGTGATTTCTTGCTTTCTGTCTTTCTGTCTCTCTCTGTCTTTCTGGCATGCGCACATGCCCTATAGCAGAAACGTCTCCAAAAAAGAGAGAGAGAGAGAAAAAAAAACCCCTATGAATTTATATAAAAAGGAGGAAGTACTCAAGTGGCAGGAAAGTTATTACATTCTTGCATGGTCTTGTCTCCTCTGTTAGTTTCAAAGTTCCATGGTGACAGAAACCACTGCATACCTTTTCTATGCTCTCTAGAAGTGATTCTTAAAGAAGCGCAGGAAGAGGGCGTGGGTATAATTTGACAAGGCATATTTGGTAAACCTGTGTATTCCAAGTACAACCGCAGAAAGTGAAGCCCAGCCAAGCTTGTTTATTGGCTTTAGTCTTCTTATTGGAGGCTGGGGATAGGTAAGCAATGGAGTGAGGATGCAGGGCTGGGGACGTGGGTGGTTTGTACATAATAACGATTACGTAACTACCATTTGTTGAGCCCTTGGTCTGTGCACAGGCTCTGGGCTAAGTGTTTTATGTGTGTGATCTCATTTCATCTTTACAGTGACCTTTTGAAGGAGTCATTGATTGGTTCAGAATATACCGAATGCGTCAAGGTGTGTCCGGTGTCAGACTAGGCTGAAAGTACCTAGGAAGACATGGCGAAGGTGGTGCTAATGAGATAGCCATGTGGAGGGCTGGTAAACAGAGATTCTGGCTGCTGCAGTGAATCTACAGGAGAAGTCATGATAAGAATTGAACATGGATGGGCCAGCAGGTGGCATGGAGGTTAAAGCACTGGACTCCCACATGGCCCACTGCAGTTCGAGTACTGGACCTGACAGCTTAAAACTCTTGCCAGGCCTGTGTGCGTGCATGCCCAAAATCCTGAGAAGAGAATGGAGGAGAAGGGATTGTGGTGTGGTCATCCCCTCTAGGGGGTGACTTCTCACTTTCTTGCTGTCTTTCCAGTGACCACGCATGCCCTATAGCAAATATCTTTCCACTAAAAACAGAAAACAAACCAGTGTGGTGAGGTGACAGAGGGCTGAGAATGGTTGTTGGGGTGTTCCAACCTTGTGCAGGAGGGTAAGGGCAGAACGATGAAGAATCACCATTGATTTTGGAGCAAGAGAAGGATATGCTCTGTCTTCATTCATGGAAAGGATACCGTCAGGGTGGAGCGGGGAGAGGCCAGACCCTGGGAAAGGGATGGGCACGTGGGCATGTTCGCAGCCTCCTGTGAGTGTCTGGGAATATCACTAGTCTTTTCCTGATCGCTTCATGGTATCTGTTCTTGGAGCCAAGGCTGCCTCTTCAGAGCCAAAGGCAGATATTGACTGTGGAAGCTTCCAGAACACCCTGCTCTGCCTTCTAGGATGAGGTGGAACAGAAAGCCAGCTTGGCACACAGTGCACAACTCTCTGGGCTTCACAGAGGTCTGTGCAGGTAGAATGAGGGCTCAAGAAGGCTCTTCATAGGCAGAGCGCATGTCCACTCAACCCGCACCACTACTCTTAGGACTGTTCATGAAATGGTAGTTGGAAAGCTGGGGCTGGGAAATTTTAGGGATATGCTTATCCTTTCAGGGATGGTGTAAAGGAAGCTAATTTTGATGGTTTGCTCCTATTGTTTTTGCTGTAGGGTACATGTGCACGTCAGAAAGAGAAAGACAGAAGGAAAGTGAGAACTCACCCCCCACCCCTACTGGGAGGATTACACGCTGCAACCCCTTCTCCTCCATTCTCCTCATGGGATCTTGGGCATGCACACAAACATGCCCGATGTGATTTCCAAGCTGTTGGGTCGGGGATTCAGACTGCACAGCTGGCTGTGTGTGATCCAGCTCCTTAACCTCCTTGCTACTGGCTGCTCTGATGGTTCACTCTTTAGGTATCTGCTAACCACAGTGCACTGCCCAGAGCATGGTTGGCTGTTTGCCCAGGGACTAATGAGATAACCTCCACCTGCTACATTTTACAAGCCCGGCAGGGAGCCACGGTTGTTACTTGGCCCAGTGGCCTCTCAACATGAAGACTGTGCTATGCGGTGGAGGCGGTAAGCGAGCTCGGCTCAGGGTGCCTGCCTTCAAATCCTTGGTAGTCTACTGGCCGCCATCTTGGGCATCTTGGGATCTTGGGCATGCACACAAACATGCCCGATGTGATTTCCAAGCTGTTGGGTCGGGGATTCAGACTGCACAGCTGGCTGTGTGTGATCCAGCTCCTTAACCTCCTTGCTACTGGCTGCTCTGATGGTTCACTCTTTAGGTATCTGCTAACCACAGTGCACTGCCCAGAGCATGGTTGGCTGTTTGCCCAGGGACTAATGAGATAACCTCCACCTGCTACATTTTACAAGCCCGGCAGGGAGCCACGGTTGTTACTTGGCCCAGTGGCCTCTCAACATGAAGACTGTGCTATGCGGTGGAGGCGGTAAGCGAGCTCGGCTCAGGGTGCCTGCCTTCAAATCCTTGGTAGTCTACTGGCCGCCATCTTGGGCATGACCCTTGATCTCTGTGAACATCAGTTTAACATCTGTCTCATGAGATGTGGAGAACTCTGTGGGATAGTACACGGGAAAACTTTTTGTAAACAGTGAAGCGTTTCACAAACCGAATGCTAATTGCGTTGACATTTGTACATTGCTCTGTTCCCTTAGCCTTACCCTAGGAGGAGTCAGGAAGTGGCAGGAGAGATACTGGAAAGACGGTCGCAGGGGCTTGTTTCTTTCTGCAAGGCTGGTGCAATGGGAGCTCATCTGCAAGGGCTTTTCGTTCTGGCAGGCTCGAGAAGCAGAGTTTGAGGCTGAGCAGGAGAGGATTCGGAGGGAGAAAGAGAAGGAAATTGCCCGCCTGAGGGCCATGCAGGAGAAGGCCCAGGACCACCAGGCAGAACAGGTACGGACTTCTTCTCAGCTTCCCTCTGCCTTCCCAGTTCCTTATCTATTCCTTAGACAACCTGTAAAATGGCTTCAAGGGTGGAGATTAGAAGAGAGGATACAAGTTTTCTCGACTTCAGTGGTCTGAGAAGGAAGGGTGGGCTTGCCCCCAGTGTAGAGATTTTCAAGCAATGCATTACGTTCTTAAGGTTCAAAAGTGAATTTTTGGCCACACATAAAGAACTTTCAATCTTAACTAACCATTGAAGCATGTCACCAGAGGAAACCATGACATCTTCATCCTTAGTTTTTGAAATTAGAAGCAATTGCAGGGTGACCTGGAAGTGTCTAAGGTGCAGGGACAGAATTGGGATGAGTGGGGTGGAAGGACAAGATGGCCCATCGGGATCATCTGCCCTGAAAGTTTAATGAGAGGATTCCATTTGTCTTCTCCTAGAATAATTGGCTGCCATGTTCTCAAAGCAGACTATATTAGTCTGTAGGCCCATGGCTTCTTAAAGGCACCCGTCTATTCCTAAGGTTATTTTGTGCCCTCACTGGTCCTTCCACCCTCTCCTTTCCCAGGATGCCTTGCGGGCCAAACGCAACCAGGAGGCTGCAGACAGAGAGTGGCGCAGAAAGGAAAAGGAAAAAGCACAGAAGAAGATAGAAACGGAGGCCAAGCTGAGGAAAAGTCGGCTGGAACAGGTGGCTTTCAAGGAACACACGGTGGCTGTTCAGGTGCAGCGGGACCGGGATGAGTTCGAGAGGATTCTTCGGTAGGAAGGGCCTGGGAACTGTGGCACCCGTTCCTGGTAGGTGGGTGGTTCGTACTGGGGGGAGCGTTTCCGGTTACTGGCTGCCATCTTGAGCATGACGAGCCGGATGCCTGTCCATCTTGACTGGGTTTGGTGGTACCATTCTAACCGGACAGATGGTTGAAATACACAGTCTAAAGGCTCCTGAACCAACGATCTCATGATTCTAGAGAAGAAAAGTAGCACCTGGTCGTATCTGAGGGTTTGGGAATTATTGGGATTATTTACCCTGGGGCAGTCAAGGTATAAAGAAAGATCTGTTTGGTCCCTTCTGCCCTTTCTACTCCCAACCCCCATGTCCCTCTGCCAATGAGGGATGACACTGGCAGGAGAGATTGCGGGGAGAGAGAACCGTAGACGCTAGGGCTTGTGAGTCGCTGAGTGGGGCTTTTAGGGAGGTCTTGGCCGTTCATTTGACAAATACGTACCAAGCACAAAAGTTCAAGGCTCTGTGCTGGAAGCCACAGAGGGTGTTAGAAACAGGTAAAACGCTGCTGCTGCCCGTATCCATAGGAAGGATGTTAGAGATTCGATTTGGGACAGAGCTCACCTGTATCTGTCCATTCTCACAGTTCTTGCCCTTTTATTTTTGCTTTCTCTTTTGGTGCCATGGTAATTCTAACACAGTGGAAGCTAAGTGGTCACCTTGGTCCCATCTCTCACGGCTCTGCCCCCTCACCCAAGGCAGTCAGCAATCTCACTGCCACTGGTGTTCTCCTATGCGCTGTCTTCCACCAGTCAGACCTGCCACCACCAGACCTGGCCACCACGGCTGTTCTCCTGGCCTAATTGAGATTGAGTCCCCTCCTGCTTGGTTCAGACTCTGTAAAACCTGAATTTGTTTTAAAAGGAAACAAATGAAACAAAATTCAAATGGGGAGGTGTGGGGTTGGGGGGGGGGCATACAAAATCACAGGAATTTTGCTCAGGTAAGTATAGCCCGGCCTTCCTGTCCAGAACAGGCTGCCTGGACACCCAGCCAGAGCCAGATCCACGAGACAACGCGGGTGACTGGCGG